TACCTGGATGACATCATAGTGGTTGGGAAATCCTTTGACGATCATCTGAAGAATTTGGAAGAAGTTTTCAAGCGACTAGAGAGTTCTGGTTTGAAACTTAGCCCCAAGAAATGTCATCTGTGTCAAGAAAAGGTACACTACTTGGGCCATGTAGTCTCCTCCCAAGGAGTTGCGGTAGATCCACAGAAGACCAAGACAGTGGAAGAGTGGCCAATACCTAAAGATAAACATGAACTACGAAGCTTTTTGGGACTATGCACATACTATGGCCGCTATGTACAGGGTTTCGCCACCATCGCAAAACCATTGACCAGACTTACCGAAGGCGAGAGGCGTTTCTCTTGGGACTCAGATTCTGACGAGGCATTCCGAAAATTGAAGAAGGCCCTGACTAGTGCGCCCATACTCACAGACGAAGTCCCTGAACCCTCTTGGCAACGGAAACTTTATATTGGATACCGACGCTAGCAATGTTGCGTTAGGCGCTGTTCGGTCTCAGATCCAGGATGGTCAAGAAAAAGTCATTGGTTATTTTAGTAAGACCTTGTCAAAATCGGAAAGGAACTACTGTGTAACCAGACGAGAATTACTAGCAGTAGTTAAACGGTTCTTTTTTTCTGCGTGAACGGTTCTACTGGGTGAACTGCAAAGAAGATGTAAGGGCCTGGTGTAAGAAATGTGACATTTGCGCAGCCATCAATGGGCTACAAAAGCGTGGTAAAGCCCCTATGCGCCAGTACAATGTTGGCAGTCCCTTCGAACGAATAGCGATCGACGTGGCTGGTCCTTTCCCGGAGACGAACGATGGCAACAAATACATTGTGGTAGTAATGGATTACTTCAGCAAATGGGTCGAGGCCTACGCGTTGCCAAATCAAGAAGCGTCCACGATTGCTGATGCCCTTGTTAAAGAATGGATCTGCAGGTTTGGTGTTCCCATGGAGCTTCATTCAGATCAGGGAAGAAACTTTGAGTCCAATCTGTTCCAAGGCGTCTGTGAAGTCCTGAACATCCGCAAGACCAGGACGACTGCTCTACATCCACAATCCGATGGGATGGTTGAACGCATGAACAGAACTATCAACCGTTATCTGGCCAAAGTAGTCTCTGACCACCAAAGAGACTGGGACAAATTTCTTCACCTGTTCCTGTTGGCCTACCGTTCATCCGTCCAAGAATCTACAGGGCAAACTCCAGCCAGCATCGTTATGGGACGGGAAGTGCGCCTACCCTGTGATCTGAAATTTGGTTGCCGACCGGGAGAAGAAGTCGCCGGAGAAGATTATGTCCACACACTACGTCAAAGGATGGACGACATTCATCAGAGAGTCCGCCTAAATATTCAAAGTGCTAGTGACCGAATGAAGGAACACTACGACATTCAAGCTGAGCATGGAGGATACCAACCAGGGAAGTTGGTGTGGCTATATAACCCGCAGAGACGTCGTGGGTTATCTCCGAAGCTACAATCCTCGTGGGAAGGGCCATACGAAGTCATGGATAGAATTAATGACGTCGTATACCGTATCAGAAAATTGCCAAAAGGAAAACCGAGGGTAGTCCATTTCAACCGTTTGAGCCCCTACCAAGGCGAAATAGAAGATCGTGCTGGGACCGTGAGAACCTGCAGCTTTGATCCCCCTGATTCGGAGATGTCCTTTGACGATTTCATGGCCCGATACAACAGCAGTGAGAAGGCTCGCTATGGTGTAACCAAAGAAGATCAACGAGACCTCTTTTCCGTGCCTCCTGATTATTCGCTCGCTCATTGTGTGGCTCGAGATTTGCGGATGTCCAGAGGAATCGCTGCGACGTTCAATGAGAAGTTTGGGCGTGTCGGAGAACTACGCCGACAGGATCCAGAGGTTGGAAGCGTCTTGAGGCTAACCGACAATGCACATGGTCAAGCAAGGCACATCTTCTACCTGGTCACCAAGGAATGGTCCCCGAGTAAGCCGACTTATCTCAATCTATGGAAGACCCTGATTGAACTGAGAGAAGCCCTGCTAAACAACAACATTGCACGATTAGCCATTCCGAAGCTGGCGTGTGGACTCGATGGTTTGAGTTGGCGTACAATCCGGAACATGATTGAAGTCTTGTTCAGATTTACGGGAATCGAGATCCTCGTTTGCTGCTACAACCCAAAGCTGAGATCGGGAGAGAAAACTGTAGACTGCTATTTCTACCAGACTTCGCAATGTACCAGGGGCCAGCTTTGCAAATACCTTCATTCACCGTATACATCTCGGGACGAGCATGTACCTAAGAAGGGGGCAGTGTTGCGGACCGGTGTGGACTCGACCTAACCTAACTATATGGTCCGCCCTCGGATGACCTTAACATCGCATTAAAGAATAGACACCGTAATGATTCATTCGAAGATTCGAGAAGAATCGAGTCCCACTGAAATGGAGTAGTACATACGAGAACATTCGAAACCTTCTCTATGCACCTAACGATCTATGGACTATTCTAGTAACATTTAGCTGTAATAAAAGCCGGCGGCTAAAATTCAAAATAAATTCTTAGTTATAAATCGTTTGTAAATAGTTCTATAAGTCTTTTATCGTTATTGTTTTTGTTAATTAGTGTTAAATAAATAGTGTTTAAATAAATTGTGACTTTCTATCCACACGGAACCGACGAAAAACGTAACAATATCTAATAATTAAGATATCAATGAGAGTGACTAAGAAACGACGCCTCAGTGAATTCATGGTAGGCTTTGGAAAAAAGTTGGTTTTATATAAAACATAGTTAAAACTCAAAATATTATTATATCAACAATTTGATAGTCTCAGCAGCGTTTTTTATCTTTTGATTGCTTTTCTAAAAATGCCTTTCTTCAAAAGAGAAAAAATGCTGCTAAGACTATCAAAATATTGATTTAATAACTCTTTGACGTTTATACTATTACGTCAAAAGCATCTTTTTCCCAAAGCCTACCATGGCTTCACTGAGGCGTCGTTTCTTATTCACTGTCATTGATATCTTAATTAATAGATAGTAATACATCTGGTATTATCGTATTCTGGTATATTGTCGATTTTAGAATAAACTAATCGTTTCTATCTTATTTTTTATTAGAATGGTCATAATCAAGAGGGCTACTGTAACCGTGTTAAAAAAATAAGGTAATTAGGGCTTGTTTTTTCGTATTTATTATAATTTTGCTAATGGTTTGAAAGAGGATATCAAGATGCGGTTTTCGCTGACTTTTTAAACTTTTATTACTCTTTACTATCAGCTAAACTTATATATACTATCGCATTTAATTTTTTTGAAAAAACGCGCAATGTTTGTTAAATTGTAAGACAGCGCTCCCTAGCGTCTACATTCAACAGCTTATTATTATTGTTTATACGCTATAATATAGAGTAAGAAACGCTCTTTTAAACGAACCCCCGTTTGTTAGATTCCATTCATCCAGTCCGGAGTTATTAATGTTTAAATAAAAACAGATCTAACCTTCCCCCACCACTTTATTTTAGCAGATAGGGGAAAATTGTTCTAACAAAAAATATGCAAAATTTACTGAAGATTATGAATCTATTATTTATAGTATCCGTTATCTAGACAAAATTGTGTAAAAACTCCTTTTTCTTATTTTTAATAACAGTTGCGCCCTCTAGCGGCCGCTCTACAAACTTGAAAATAATTTCCAGCAATTTCTCATGTTCTCTTTAGTTATACATATTTTTTTCCGCAAGCTCTACGACTAATACTTTCCGAGATACAGCCGAGAGCTATTCTTAGTGGGACACCCTGTACATCAATAATACATTATTTTGGGCATCCTCAACGTGAAAGATCCAAAGAACATATTGTACAGAATATCCCTAATTTTTTGATAAGATTATTTTTAAGTATGTACGATTTAGCAGGGAAGAATTGGCATATGCGCTTAAAATTACGAATTGAAACACAATTAAAATGAATAGGGTCTCTAGGGTTTTTACATACCTACTATACCGGGTGCGTCTCAAAAGTGACTCCCCCTATAACTTTTTTCATTTTTCAGATAAAAAAACAGATCTGGTATGTTAGTATATGACATAAATTAGGATTGATTGACGTATTCAATTGTTTTTGGTCACTTCCTGATTCACCTGAAATGACTACAACTTTTGATTTTTAAATGCACCCTCGGTATTTTTTTACATTATTCGATAGAAAATAACATTCTGAATAGAATGTCATATCATATGTCAACTTTTGACATTTTCGCTTAATAAAAAATCGTATTTTAAAAAACAATTATATCAACACTGGTTTATTTGAAATTATAACTTGCGGTTCGTAACGAAAATTTGACTCAAAATACTAAGTGTGTGGTATCAAATTATTCGTAAAATAATGCTTTTTTCAAATATGCCAATGAGCCACCCTCGTTCCATTTGAAAGAATTGAGATATGATTAAAAATACGATTTGAGCATTTTCTAACTGGCCAGGACAAGACACAAAAAACATTAGACGATCGAATAGATTTTTCCAAGGCTCCTTGATTAAGAATTAGTGTTTTTAACATAGCCATGGCACTCTAGATTGAATTTTAAAATACGATTTTGTATTAAGCGAGAGTTTCAAAAGTTGGCATATGATATGTCATTCTATTCAGAATGTCATTTTCTATCGAATAAAGTAAAAAAAAATACTGAGGGTGCTATTTAAAAATCAAAAGTTGTAGTCATTTCCGGTGAAACAGGAAGCGACCAATAACCATTGAATCCTAATTTATGTCATATATACTAACATACCGAATCTCGTATTTTTTATCTGAAAAAATAAAAAAGTTATACGGGTGAGCCACTTTTCAGACGCACCCGGTATTGATAAATAAGGAACTCGCTCAATTAATAATTTTGTAAGGTACTTAAATTATTCTTAACAATATGAACTGATCTCAGACACACCCTAAAACGGATATTTGACAAATGATTATGACTTAACGTTGAACGATTGCTGAACAATCAATACATCCTTTTTTGTTTCTAGGGTGTTTACATGCGTAACATAAAACAAGCAAAAAGAGCAGCAGCTTTGAAGGCCTGCGAACTGCTTCACAAAGCAGGAGAACTAGACGATCATTTATTACCAAAAGTAAGCCAGGTTATTGAAGAAGATGTAAAATATTTGTTTGGTCATCATCCAAAGGAAAATGAACCCATGGCTGGAACGAATAAGAACAAGAGACAGCACAAAAAATTGGTAATTAACGAACATATATATTTTCTTCAACGTTCACGAAAGTTAGTGAAACGAATGCTGATGATTTTCAGTGACTTTTTAAGAAATTTTTGTGACTTTTTAAGAAACTTCTAAATCATCAGCATTCGTGAAACGAATGCTGATGATTTAGAAGTTTCTTAAAAAGTCACAAAAGGGTTAATTAAGCATGTTTTATTAAGAAAATTGACAATTAATTTAACTTTCTTTATAATTCTGTTTAGTTGATGTGTATCATTATTTAGAGTTGCATTATTTAACTTTATTAAACTGGTAAAAATGGTATTTAAAATAATAAACGTTGCACTATACTTCATAGTAATCTACAATGATCAAAAAATCTACACTGAATAAAAGTGTCTTTAGCGATTTCTAAGAAGACACCCAGTCATAGGCGGATGTAATATTTAATACCTAATACAATAAAAATAGATATTAAATAGTATGCATTTTTTTTTTCATTTTAGCGTATTATCTAAAAATATTTTTATAGAGAACATCTACTGTTTAGGAAGATTCTATTAAATTGTAGGATTTGAAGGACATGTTTGAGAAAGATTAGTTTGAAATGTTAAAAAAGTAATAGATTTAGAAAAATAATTTTTTATACGTAAAAAGTGTTTTTTTACAAGTAAAAAATATTTTATAGGTGTAACAAATAGTTTAATACGCGTAAAAAGTTGTTTTTTACGTGTAACAAATAGTTTATTACACGTAAAAAATAACAGTGTGTAACAAATAGTTTTTTACACGTAAAAATCGACAGCTTGATAGAAACTGGAGACTTGCCGCTTCTTTTGCGTGTTTTTAATGGACACAAATCGCAATGAAACCTTCAATCGGTAAAATCGCAAAAGTGCTGTACACGCAAAAACGCAAAAAAACGCTTTCTGTGTGGCCGTGGGCTAAGTTTAACAACAATCTTCCATGTAATTGAAGTTCCTACACAATGTTTTCCAATTTATACGCTGCGTATAAAACCGGTTATAAAGTAAACAAGAATAAACAATTTTATTTTTTTATTTATACAAAACATTATTTCAAGCTTGTAAAAACTCAAATATGTCGGGAGAAAATTCAAAGAAAGCTAACAAAGCAGTTGTTATGACGATGACGGAGCTTCCTTTTCTAATATAGGAACTCTTTATTACTTTCCAGGGACAAAACCAAATATTTTTCAAATTTAGGGATTTTTGTAAAAATCCTGAAAATTATCCTGCACGTATTTTTTAGATTCCCAATTTTCTACAAGGCGGATTGGCTCCAAACAAACCGGTTTACTTGCACATAATTCATCTGCAACCAGAATTTGAACGACGCGAAGAACTGATGCAATCGTCGTTCTACGACATCTACACTTCCGATCTATGTTATGGACTAATCACTCCAAACGCAGTTCCGACAATTGCCGACTTTCCCATTTACGTCAACTACGGAACGTTAACCACCAAGCTGGACGTCAACGTTGCCCAAGTCGTGCTGACCGAACAAGACATCGTAGACATTAAAACGTTTAATTTCAACGTATTTAGCAAGATTCTAGACTGTCTGAGGCACTTCCTGATCTTCGATAATGGACGGGACGCGGAATGTATGATACTTGTTCCGGTGGAGAAAAATTCGACCCGCATAGACTTCGACGTGTTAAGAAATCATAAGCAAATTAAAGAGTCGTCGGTCGAATTAACCAGAGAGGAGAAACTGAGCTTAAACGTCACAACTGACAGTTATTTGAAGAAAATCGTTTCGCCTTGGTACAGAGACATGGGTGTAAGTATTATTTTTATTCATAGAATAATAAAACTGCAGAGATGACTATATTATTTATAATTATTTGTAATATAAGATGTGAATGAATAAGTGGACAAAAATTCGGGAGCTGTTTGCTTTTTGTTGTAGTTTTTTCGACGTTCTCCTACAAAGTTATTTGAGCAACAATTTACCGCCATGACATGTGTCCTATGACATATTAATTAATATAACAGCATATTAATCGACAGTTGTCGTATAATACTATACAGTCGTCATACAACAACTGTCATGGCGGTAAATTCTCTTCAGATATGCAAAAAGTGGGGCTAGGTAACCAAATATCGAAAAAAGTAGACGAGAAAAGTTGTTCGTTCAGTTTTTCATTTTAAGGGCTATATTCAATAGTTTGTCCCCCACTTCGTTTTTTGCATTGTTCACACATTTTTTAAGAGTAATCTGACCTGAATTGTTTCGCGCTTATTCATTTACATTCTGTATAGTGTCCGTTAAAAAGTTTTAAACGAATGCGAAAATTTTTCATTATAGAGTTAGTTTAGTTAAATTTTAATTAATTAATTTAATTAGTTAGGAGAAACAATTCAATTTTTTGATAACACAATAATAAAAAATAAATTAAAATAATAAATTTTCGTTTGATGCAAACTTTTTAGCTGTCTATACAGTCAGTATACATACTCTTACATACAAGGGACTAAAATAGCTGGGATGGAACATGTCTCGCCACGTGCTTCTCATTGTATTTGAACCGCTCTTGTCTAAAATCGAAAAAAATGAGACAGAAACAAAAAAATACTTAATTTAATACCAACATACTGCGTTCCAAAACGGGTCCTTTCTTCGCGATATTTCCGTTTTAGGGTACAAACATAGTGGAGGCAGGTTTCTGCTTACCGGCAACCAGCGCCGTCTCTGGGTACCTATTCTTGACCACTCGCATCTTCAAATATCGCTCGCATCCAGGCTTCGAAAAACTACATATTACTCTTAAAAACTACCTTACATGTAGTTAATGTAGTTTATGTAGAGGGTGTAGTTTATATAACCTATATATGTAACTCTTAAATATCAAAGGTTTGAGGCAGATTTGAGGTGAGGTTATAATAAGTTGAAGCTTTAGGGTACAAACTCCGTATCGCCATCTCGCGCTTATAACCTTGAAAAATTAAAGCGTGTTGTCAAATTGCCCAGTTCACAGTGAAGGCAGGTAGACGCCGTCAACCAGCGTTCATCGGAGTTCTCGCTTTTACCGGCACGAAAATTTATTTATTTCTGCTTTTGCACGCGCCGAGGTTTTGCACGCGCCGAGGGGTATTAAGAACTAAAAGTTGGCCAAAGTTATGTTTTATGATTTTTTTTTACTGTTTTGCTAGTAATATTAATTATTAAAGGGGATGGTGCTAATATGGAACCCCATTGTTTTTCCTACACAATATTTTTTCCTCTACTCTGAAACCCTTTCCACCGATCAAATAGGGTCATTCTGTGCAAAACCAAGCAATTGGATGAGGATGCTAGAACAAGAAAGTAATTTGTATATTATAGACGATATTTGAGCGAGGATGGGTGTTATAGGGTAAATAATATTTCCTTTAAGAATCTATTTAAATCAATGTTTTTGGCAATGGCAAATATTGGCAAGATTTTTGTACATATTCCAAAGCTTGAGACTTTAAGCATTGAACGGATACTAATTTCCATGCGGAATTTTTGCCGAATAGTCTTACACCTTATAAAAAAGCCTCTGATTTTTTAAATATAAAACATTATAAAGAAATAGAGAATAAGGATACGTTTCAAAATAAAAATATGCATAAAACAGAACTTGCCCAGCTGGCTCTGTATCCATCATGAAAGTTATTATAAGCAATTTCCAAAAAAGCACTACAAACAATTCCACTATTTTATAATCTTAGAAATATTCAGAATACACTCAAGATAATTCACACTTATAACTGAAATATATTATTTGATAGTCAACTTACGACTTAAAAAAGCTAATAAACGTGTTTACATTTAGTATTTATAGATTGCTATTCAGTTAAGATAAAAAATAAAAAATATCACTTTTGGCCAGGTTTGTAGACCAAATAACCCTATGTACGGCGCCGGCGTTTGAATGTGGAAAAATACACCTATTTGGGACAACCTCAAAGGAATAAAAATCCTCTCTTCAAGAAGAATAGGTTGCTTATGTAGATTGCATCAATTTTTGAATAACCTATATTCCACTTTTTCAAAAATATACAGGGTCCGACAATAATGCGTCGGGCATCTGTAGCTCCTAGAATAAAAAAATTGGGAATTTGGTTTAAGTGTAAACCTAAAGTATGTATGCGGATGTATTTCAGGAAAATATTTTAACTTCTATATATAGGGTGGCTCAAAAAAGTGAGTGGATTTGGATGATTTTTTTTAAATGGAATGCCCTGTATATTATTGCATTTTTAGCTTCTTTTCAGATCATTTTACATAATCGTAAGATATGGGTAAATATATTTCGATAGTTTCAGAGATATTAATAAATAAATAAAAAATAAATATTTTTCAACCTTCACTAAAAAAATTTTATAGATACAAGAAAATCAAAACTATATTAGGATCTACTTTAGATGGTCTATACTTACTTTGCTATAAATATCGTAATCTTAAATCATACAGGATGTTCAAAATTATACGCCAAACTTTTTAAAATATGAAATCATTTTTCTTTGTTTTTTTCAAATGGAACACCCTGTACATTATTTTTTTTGTTAGATGTAGAATTAAAAAATGAACATTTTTAGCCGACCATACCAATAGGTATGGTCGGCTCTTAAGATCGGCAAAAAAAGTTTTTTTAATTTCACTCAAAATGAGTTATTTGGGTCATAAATGACCTAAATACAATATATTTGCATGGTGTCTGTCTGTCTGTCCGTCTGTAACACGATAACTCAAAAACCGCTTAACCGATTTTAACCAAATTTGGCACAAAAATACTATGGCACACGAGAATCTGGCAATTGGCAATCTGGCAAATTTTCTGGCAATCTGGATACGTAACTCCAAAATTACAGTAGCTAGCAAAACGCGGTTTTCAAATTAAGATTAGGAATAATATTTGCAACAAAATTTGTAATAACATCAAAATCAGTCAAAGTCACAGTTTTCGAGATATGAACATATTTTAGTATGGGCGGCTATACGTGCCTCCCGCCGCCAATTTTTTTTTATTTATGTGATGTTTTTTTTATCATAATATCAATACGTAGTTCATTAACGTAGTTTTCATGTAGTTAATAAACGGAAAAAGACTTAATTATTTAAGAAAAACTACACGTAGTTAAGCAGGTAAATTATCTTTTAATTAACTACCTTAAACCCTTCTCGCATCTCCAAAGCCATAATATCTTTTATTATGTCTTATAATATTGTTACAGAGATAATAAAATAAAACTTTTTTTCGTATCTTCGACAATGACGAACGACGATCTTGGACTTCCGCACTAATAGGCCACCATGTATCTATTACTGTCTAAACAAAACTTTTAATCGCTATATGATGAATATGTGTAACGTGCCATTTTCACGCGTGTTAGCATGGCATGGTAGCCAGATTTATTTGACCGCGTCACTTGGTCGCTTCGTTCACTGCTCATCGGAATATTAGATGTAATTGGTGAAAGCTTTGCTGCCCGTACCCTTTGTTTCCTGCAATACTTTAGCGACGTTTGATGTATTAAGCGCTTTTAAAGGGAAACGCCCTTTTCTATAGGAGATCGACGAAAACTAAGATCGGTGTCTGGAGCTCAATTTTTATCAAAAACATGATGGCGAAAACTGCACATCGATATCTGTTGCCTTTTCGGAGTTACGGGGTGTTTTCCAAAAAATGCATGAAACTTTTTTGTTATGAAAATGCTGGCTTTTTGATGAAGAGCCTAAAGTTATTCTTTTTGACGTAGAATTTTACTTTGTTTATAGCGGTCTTTCTTTTAAATTAATATTTCAAAAATTATTAACAGAAAATTTGATTTTTTATATGGGACACCCTGTATATTGTTAATTAATTGAAAATAATTTAAAATTACCTTTTCAAAAATATAGCATACTTGATATATTGCTCGATTCCTCTTCGAGATATAGATTTTTTAAAAATTTGCCCACTTTGAATAAGTAGGCTTTGAACGACGCCGGCTGTAAAAAAATTCTAGCTCTGAGCAGCAATTAAAACGAAAATAATATTTGCAATGAGAGATGTAGAAGTTTATAACAATTTAAACGATATTTGACAACGTCAACATATTTAACTATATCTAATAACAATAAAAATTATTAGCAAACCAAGACATGAGATTTTGCTACAGGTGTTCGACATGTCGACCGTCTTCTGTTATGGACAGACGGGACCGTTTTTGAACATTTCTCGCGGAATTCATTAACTCAGTGGGGGTGAAAAATACCCTCGCATAACCGCTAAGTACTTCTAATTCTTGTCTAGATTATACGGGCAATTTAAAAATAAGAACTTTTATTCTTCCGCAAAGATCCATAGGCGCTAAGACCGGCGGCCGAGATGGCCAACGGCTGGGATCTTGGCTAGCTATTCAATTATTCTCGAAATTGACTGCAAAAATTTGCTGATAACTTCAGCGTTCTGAGGCGGTGTCTCATCTTGCTGGAAAAATATGTTTTCTAGTTCCAGTAGGGGCAGATCATCTATAAGGGGTCCAAAGCCTACTAGTTTAAGTGGCGAACTTTTAAAAATTCTGTATTTCGAAGGGGACTTTAACAAAATATCAAGTGTGCTATATTTTTGGAAAGGTAATTTTAAGTCCTTTTCAGTTAATTAAAAATATACAAGGTGTCTCTCTCTTTCTCCCAAATAAAAAATCAATTTTTTTGTTGATAACTTTTAAATTATTAATTTAAAAAATATATATACTTAAACCATTAAATTCTATGTATAAAGGTGCTTTGAAAATGTTTTTATAAAAATACAAATTTTTCTATAGCAA